CGCCCCTTGAACTTTTAATGAAAATAATAAAGGTGGGATTAAAAAAAAACCCTAAACATCTAAACCTAAACAGGAAGCCCCTCCTCCACTCAGGGTTCCTGCCAGGGCTAAGGGGGCAGCCAGTCAGGTGAGCCTGCACCATACCTGTGTCATTTCCAGGTAGAGGATCACCTGGGCGTCGATTTCCACCTGCTGAAGGCTGGCACGCACCAGCTCGTCCACCGCGTACTGTTCTGAGGAGGAGAGGAAGAGGGGCCACTCAGGGCGGAGCGGCCTTTCTCGCAGCCCCGTGGACCTCCCCTCCTGCCTGTGCCACCCTGGGTGCCCTGAAGGCTGACGGCCTCCCGGAGGGCAGCCCCAGAGGCTCTCACCGGTCAGGGCCTGCAGGCGGCTCAGGCAGAGGCGGTTGGTGAGCACCAGCAGCTCCATGGCGTCCAGGTCTGGGCTGGGCACAAACAGCTCCGTGTACAGGAACTCCAGCACAGCCCGAAGGCAGGCGCGGTTGGTGCCTGGCAGGGAGACCTGGGGACGGCAGAGTGGGCGCTCAGGGGGGCTTCTGCACACCCTTCACCTCCAGCAGATGCTCCTGCCGATTCGGGGGGGGGGGGAATTCCTCTCGAAGCACAAAACTGCAGGCTCCATGGTCCCCAGCAAACGGGGGAGGAGGTTGGCCTTGTGGGCGGACGGAGTCCCTGGACTCTTTTCCCAGAGGTCCCAGTGTTGGGGGAGGAGGAGCGGTGGGGCTGGCTGTCCATCCCAGGAACCAGGGGCAGCACCAGGGCCCTTCCTGCTCCCCTGCTGGACACTGGCCCCACAGGGTCAGCTGCCAAGCGGAGAGCCAAGCTAGGGAGCCTCACAGGCACTCATCTACTTCAATCATCTCCAGGAAAGGGGTGGGCAGGAGAAGGCCCTGTGGCCTCAGGCCACCTCGGAGCTCCCTTGTTCCTACCACATGGCTGGGGTCTCTAGGGGCCAAGCCGGGCTTCTGTGCACCAAGGCAGGGAAGACACTCCTCCCAAAAGCTACCTGGGAGAGAACGCTGAGACGCACACCTGGAGAGCCCCCCCCCATGGCACCTGCACAGCAGCTGAGGCTGCCCCTCAAGCACAGGCGGGGGGGGGAGTCCCCTGCACAAGCCTGGCTCCCTTATAAGGTGGCAGGAGGGCCGCCCGCCTCACCTCAGTAGCACGGCTCTCCCGGAAGGTGCCCCCAAACATGGCCACCATGAAGTCGCAGCCTGCGAGCAGGAGGGGCTTGTGCGCCGGCACCGACCCATCGTCCACCAGGAAGACCACATCTGCGGGGGAGGGGGGAGAGAAGGGAGGCCGGTCCTGAGGAGGGGCTGCCTTTGGGAGCTGCTGCTGCCCTCCAGCCCCCCTGCTCCCCTCTGCTACCTGCGAAGGAGCCTTTGCTCAGGCACTCCTTGATGCGGTTGGCCCTGCGCACGTGGAAGGCCTTGGTGATCTCGCCGTTCATGAAGCTCTCCTTGTTGAGGACGTTGGCCACCATCATGCGCAGGTCGAAGACCTCCAGCAGTTCAGCCATGGCGGCCACCTGCATGAGGCCGGCCGGGGGCTGGTCCAGGCACCCCGTGTACAGGTACTCCAGCACCACTTTGAAGGGGGCCTCCTGCACCGGCTCATCCAGGTACACGGCAGTCATTGGCTTCTCCTGCTGCGTGACAGGATCCCGCACCGTCTCCCGCTGCACATCAATTATGCCCCGGCCCCAGCCAGAGACCGGGCGAGGCATCCCAGGGGCGCACAATGGCTCCTCGCTCTGAGAAGGCCGCAGCGGCACAGCCCGCATGGCTGTGGCCAGGCATCCCTGGTCGGCAGCTTCCAAGCTCTTTGTGCGCCCGGCGGGCTCCTTCCCACCGGCCAGCTCCTCCCCCAAGTCCAGAGCGAAGAGGTCGTAGAAGCGGGAGCAGGCCGTGGCCAGGTAGACTCTGTGTGCAAAGAACTGTTGGCCGCCAGGTAGGTGGAAGACCACATCAGCACAAAGGGGCTCGTGGAAGAGCGCGCCGGGCCCCCGGCCTTCCCCGGCAGCCGGCTCAGGGATGTGGATGATGGGTGGGGGGGGCTTGGGGGGCAGGAAGGGAGCCTGCAGCAGTGGCCGCTGCGTCTTCTTCAGGTGGGATTTCCAGAACTGGAGGTGCCGGCGGGAGATGAGGGCGGCCCGAATTGCATTGTCGAAGACGTCCTTGATGCCAAATTGGGCCACGACGCTAGTTTCGTAGTACGGGATGCCCAGCTCCTTGGCTACCTCATGCCCGCACTCAGGGGGCAGGATGTCTGAAGGTTTGATGGGTCTGAAACAAAGCAGAAGAGCAGATGCCAATTAGCAGGGGTTGCCCAGGAAGGCTCCTGTGAGGGCAGACTAACCCCGTGGCAGAGAGCGGAGGGTCCCCCAGGAACAGGCAGGAACCGATCTAGGATGGGGGGGCTGACCACACCTGCCAGCCCCCCCCCCCCACAGAATGAGTGGCTTCAGACAGCGGGACTGGGCCCTACTTGGCCAAGGGACGGCGCGCCCGGTTCACTGCCTCAAGGTCTGCATAGCGCAGGTCCAGCTGGCAGCCCACCAGCACGATGGGGGTACGTGGGCAGAAGTGCTTGATTTCTGGGTACCACATGGTCTTCACATGCCGCAGCGAGTTGGGGTTGGCCAAGGAGAAGCAGAGCACCACCACATCGGATCTGTCAAGGAAAAAGAGGGGGGGGGGGCAGGGAAGAGAGCATCATGCAGACGAGACTCTCCCCCAGTGGCAGAGGAGGCAGCTGGGTCTACCAGCCCTGGACGGGGAGGGTCGCAAAGGGCCACCCTGAGTGTGGGCAGGCCAAGGCCAAGATGGACGGCTGGCTCTACTCCTCTGCAGGCCCCAGCAGTGCCCCAAAGCCCCCTTCTTTCCTGGGGCCCACCTGCGCGGCCCTCCTCCCACTCAGGGGCTGCAGAGGCCACTTGTGACTGCCCTCCCGCAAATCCTGGAGACCACAGGGATCCCAGCCTCTAAGTTCCATCTGCACTTCCTTCTCTGGTGAGGCCAGGAGCAACAGAGGCCCCAACACCCACCGTCCCCCAGAGGGGCTCAGAGACCACCTGGACCAGTAATGGTGAACTTTTTCAGCACCGAGTGCCCAAAGCGGAATGCCAGCTGGTCTTCACGGGCCCACAACACCAGAAACCTGAAGACCACCCGACTTGCGGGCGCATGCCTGTTTTTTGGTCATTTTACGGCACATTTTCAGGTCATTTTTAAGGCCATTTTTTGGCTGTTTTTCGGGTTAATGTTAGGAAAATGGCCCCCAAAACCTGTTTTTTGTGCCATTTTCAGACTGTTTCCATCGAAGACCAGCTGGCCATGTGCCCCCAGAAATTAGAAGAGGAGCTGGAGGTGGTGCGCAGGGCCACAGAGAGGGCTGGGCATGCCACCTCTGGCATCTGGGCCATGGGCTCCCCATCAGGGACCTAGACTGCTGAGGCAGGCAGGAGAGGGCTGGGGTGCTGAAGGGCCTGTGCGTCCCTCTGGACAGCTGCCTTGCGGCCTCCCAGGATAAGGAAGAGGAAGGGGGCGGCCCAAGAGCGGCTGCTAGGAGGGGGACAGGGTAGAGCAGCCGCCCGTGCCCAATGGGGCCATGGGGAAGCGGACCTTTTCGGCGGGGGCGGCGCCCTCACCTGCCGTAGGCGAAGCGGCGGTCCTTGTGGTGGTCCCCGAAGGTGTCCCAGAGGCGCAGGGAGATGCTGACCTCGTCCACCACATCGCGGGAGCGCTCCAGCACCTGCGGAGCGCCCAGGCGTTAGGCGGCGGGGCGGGCGGGAAGCCCCCCGCCGGCCTCCCTCCCTCCCTCCCTCCCTCCGCCCGCGGGGCTCACCTCCTGGCACACGCGGTACTGGTCGATGGCCCAGACGGTGGGCACGTGCGTGGCCAGCAACTGGTACTGGGTGAGCGTGGCGTTGCAGGCCCTCGCGCAGATGAGCCGCGTCTTGCCCACCGCGTTGTCGCCCACCACCACGCACTTGATGGTCTCGACGTTGGGGCGCTCGTAGTCCAGGTCAATATCCATGGGGGCACCGCCGTCGCTGCGGGGGGAGGTCGGGATCAGGGCGGGGGGCGCGCGGCCGGTACGCCCACCCCCCGCCACCGGTACGGGCCGGGCCCGCCCTGCGGAGTGGCGCCTTCACGGGCCCCGGGGGGACGGCCCAGGCCCTTCCCTGCCCCGGGGGGCGTCCCGGGTAGCGCATCCCATCGCTTCCCCGAGCCTCTCGGCCGGCAGCCGCCGCCGCCGCGCTCCCCGCGCCCGCTGCCCCGCCGCCGCGCCCATCGCCGCCGCCTCCCGCCCGGCTGCCCCGCGGCGTCGCCCCGCCAATCGGCGCCCGGCCGCGCCCCCTCCGCCCGAACAAAGGA